TTTAGGGTGTAGGGTGTAGGGTATCAAAAAACAGACTCAGAGAAACAAAAATGTTGCCAGCAACATCTGCATCGGAACCATGCGTGCGTGAGCGGGGGGTCGTGAATTAAGGAGTACCCTATTTCGGAGCCTTATCATAAAAATTCCTACCCCGTTACAGTCTGTCACGAGTGTCCCACATTTCCGGACACAGCGTCTGCTCTCACACGGTGGCTCAAAACTGTAGAGCCCAGTACAATATGCCAGCAGCCCGAAGGTAGTAGAGAGACATCCCTACGCCCGAAACCCTAAAACCCCGAATTTCGGGACAAGCTTGCATGATCGGATGGTCGTCTTGCCCCTAAACCCTAAACCCTAAACCCTAAAACCTAAACCCTAAGCCCTAAACCCTAAACCCTAAAACCTAAACCCTAAACCCTAAAACCCCACACCATGGACCCTTAAATCTCCCCGGCTCTCTGCAACAGTTGGGGTCCCAACCTTTGTGGACCGGCAGGCGTGCAGAAGAAGGTTCCGCATGGCTCCGGCTCAGGTCACTGCTTTGGTGCAAGGCTCTCGGGTTTGGGGTTTAGGGCTTAGGGTTTGGGAGTTTAGGGTTTAGGAGTTTAGGGTGTAGACATGCATTAGCAATCATTTAGGCTTCTGTATTAAGGCATTTAGAGAGGCTTGCGGGTTTCGGGGTATAAGATTATGGGGTCTAGCTTATTGGGTTCAGGTCCTAGGGTTACGGGGCTCGTAGCGTTTGATAAGACTTTTGTGGCATAGGGTTTAGGGTTTAGGGGTTTAGGGGTTTAGGGGTTTAGGGGTTTAGGGTTTAGGGTTTAGGGGCTTTGGGGCTTGGCATTTAGGATAACACTGGCGAGTTGAAAATATGGGAATATGCTGCTTAGCTGAAGTTGTAGTCTTCGAGCCCAACAAGCAGGGAGCAAGTGGTGCGAAGATCATTGATACTCGAGGCTGCCATCACTTTCACAGGTGGCCTCGTGGTGACAGTGTATCAGCCGATTCTCCTGCACTCCAGCCATTGCAAACGAAAGCTTCGAATGGCTTCGCCTTGCCTGCCCATCCTGTCTCAGCCCTCAACCGCTCAACCCTAAACTCTAAACCCTAGAACCCTCAACCCTGAAACCCTAAACCCTCAACCCTAAACCCTAGAACTCCTAAAGCCCTAAACCCCTCAACCATAAACCCTCAACCCTCAACCCTAGACCCCTCAACCCTAAAGCCCTAGAACCCTCAACCCTAGACCCCTAAAACCCTAACTCCTAAACCCTGAACCCTCAACCCTAAACCCCTAAACCCCTCAACCCTCAACCCTAAAACCTTAATCCCTAGAACCCTCCCACCCGAAACCCTAAAACCCGAACACCCGAAGCCCATCCTGGGGGGCCGGGAGTACCGGCAGGGATCCCTCGTGGAAGCGCCTTGGCCTCAGTTGAGGAGTTTTTGGGGGGCTTTGAGGTTTGAGGGTTTAGGGATTTTGGGGGCTTTTAGGTTTGTGGGTTTAGGAGTTTTTGGGGGCTTTTAGGTTTGACGGTTTAGGGTTTTTGGGGCTTTGAGGGTTTGAGGGTTTAGGATTGTTGGGGCTTTGAGAATTGAGGGTTTAAGGTTTTTGCGTGGCTTTTAGGTTTGAGGGTTTAGGGTTTTTGGGGCTTTGAGGGTTTGAGGGTTCAGGATTGTTGGGCCTTGAGGGTTTGCGGGTTTAGGATTGTTGGGGCTGTGAGGGTTGAGGGTTTAGGATTTTGGGGCTTTTTGGGTTAAGGGTTTAGGGTTGAAGGTTTAGGGTTTAGGGGGGTGGAGCACGAGACTTTTGAGGGACTTGGAGTTTTGGGTTTTCGGGTTTAGGGCTCAAGGATTTTAGATTTTGGGCCTTGGGTTTGGTTTCTGTAAGACTTTAAGAGCAATTATAAGACTTCCCATGTGGGTGACGAGGAGGGTACTTGTAAGGCTGACAACAGGCCTTCCTGAGGCTATGCTGGGTTTGTGGCCTTCCTCAACCCCAAAGAATCTTACCTTTGTGGGTTCCTTGTTATGATCTCCTTGTACAAGTCCTTGAAACTGTATGCGGAAACCTACCTTTTTTTAAGAGTCATTTCTTCTGATGTCCTGAAAGCAGTCCTGAAGAAGCGTATGCTATCTGGGGCTTAGGCTGAGGACTTCCCCGGACCCTAAACCCTAAACCCCAATTAAAGGAAACTACAGGTGGGGAGTTTAGGGTATATAGGGCTTCTATAGGCTTCTATAAGGTATATAGACCCTCTATAAGGCTCCTATAACGGTAACTACCCACCTGAGAATGCCATAAACCCCAATGCCTGAACAGGCCCAAAGCGACGACTGGAGGCCCAGCGAGGGAAGTGGGAGTGCATGAGCCGCTTGCACCATGCCGTGGGCAGTCGGAGCCGCCTCCCATTCGGTTTAGGACTTATTAGGGTTTTAATGGTTTAGGGTCTACCGGTTTAGGGTTTAGGGTTTAGGGTTTGTAGCGTTTAGGGTTTAGGGTTTAGGGTTTAGGGGATTAGGCTTCAATTTCGTCTTAGAGCTTCTCTATATTCAATAAACATCATCAACTACTTGGTGCATCAACTACTGCCTTCCGCTGCTTCTCGTTTACGCCACTTGTAATGTCACGTTTAACTCGATTGTTTATGCTTGTCTTTGTCTGTATTCTATACCTTTCTTATTGACGTAGTTTGTGTCTGGATCATTGCTTGCTTTTTGTCAACGCAGGTTGTTCTAGACCCGCCTCGTTATTCATCATTAGACTTCTTCACTTATTAACTTACGACTTATTTTACTCTGCATCACACTTCTGTCGTTTCTCAATGATCCCATTGTGTACTTCCGTCCTTCTCATGGTCTATGTACACTCAGCAGTCACCCTAAGCGCGAAACAATACCTTTTTGGGGGGTGCAGCAAGCAATTCGAACGTCCAGGAATACACAGAAAGAAACAGGCCCTGGGGCGGATGAGCAAGCATATCAATCTGAGTTTCTGCAGGAATTTTATGAACTAAACAAGAAAATAGAATGTGTGAAGTCGTTTGTTTATTCATGTAAACATCCTTATAAACTCCTTGTAGTACCGCGGAAAGCCCGTTTAATCTCCAATTAAACCCGACAACACCTTATCATGCCATACAACCCTTCTACTATACATGTCTATATCGAGCCGAGTTTTGGCTCATAAAACCCTCCCTTTGTACTAATACTAATACTATTATATGAGGCTATATTTCAAGTTTTCATCATAAATATCTTGACAGTAACCTGCCATACTTAATCATGTTGTTCTTTATAACTATGCCACTTGCCCACTGGATCCACCTCTCCTGCCTGGCATACCTTCCCCGAATGTGCTGACAGCAAGGGCGGCCCGCCAGGCCAATCGATGCGAAAATACGGCTTTGGGGTTTGTAGGATTTAAGAGGGGGGGGGGGGGGGGG